AGCATGGCAATTAGGAACTAAAAAAGCCTTATACCGAAGCAATGGTGTTCCCGTTGTTCGAGGCGACATGCTGCTGGAAAACGGGTCGCTGAAGCAGACGATTGATTGGATCTGCTTTGCTCGTTTGTTCGGTATTTTTACCAACAATTCCCACTACAATTACGCGTCTCTCTTCGAACATCGTCAAATTGTAGGTCGACTCGGTGAGCCACTGCCAAAGAGGCTCGGCCAGTCCTTCCCTCATTCTGAAACGCCAGCGCTACCACCTGCAACAACAAAAAATCCAGTCTGAAACGCATCAGGGTTTGCCTGTGCGATCACGCTTTTCTGCACTAAACTCGCAGATCGCTAATAGCACGAATGATCCCTGCGCTGTAGCCTAACACTTGGGCTCATATTGGCCCAAAATTCCAGCCTCCCAACTTCCCTGGTTGCTGAGATGAAAGTGCGTGACAAAGTTCACTCGCTCTCGAACACACACACATACACACACACACACACACACAAACAACCTCTCGGCAGTATGCGTTTTTGCTGGCTGTAGCAGCACTATAGCGCTGCACAACAAAAACGTATAAAAAGGCTTTCCAGCACATTTAAAGCAACAGACGCTGGACAGCTGCGGGAGACGACCAAGCTGTTTTCTGAATAAATTTTTACGAAATTACCCCCCTCAATAAATAGAAAAAGCATGAGAAAGTAGAATTAAAAGTGTCATGGACTAAGTGTCATGTGTAAGAAGAAATGTTACAATGCAATTACACGTGTTTCATCCCTTAGCTGTAAACACAAATGAAATTTGTTTAGTTGAAGAGATTGGGGTAAGTGTCCTGTGTAAAAAAAAACATGCCACAATGCAATTACATGTATCTCATCCCTTAGCTGTAAACACACACAGACTGAATTTTGCAACAGTGAAATTTGTTCAGCTGCACATGCAGCATTTATGGTTTCCCGAAAATTGTGTTGACCTCTAGGGTAATCGAAAATCCAGTTTTCTGCAAATATAAACAATTTGTGGTACTTGTGAACTAGGGGGGAGGGGGGAGGGTTGCGAATTACGTACATGAACATGCTTTCTGTATAAAACGCTTCTTCCAAAAACAGGTAACACGTAAGCAGCGCAGTTGAAGACCCTGTAGGGGCACTGCAGGACATCTACATGTACCGCGAAACCACTGACATCGAGATACCCCGAATAGATGGACCAAAGATGCGTACAAAAAGGCAATTACTAAAATTCGGCTAGATTCAGACTGTCCACGGGCCGGGCAATCAGGCAACTACTAAAACTCGGCTCGGCTCGGCTCGGCCGGTGCGTTTTCCGCCCCAGTGAGGCGGCTGCAATCTCCGGCAACA